TGTGTATATATATCTGTCTGTTTCCAGGGACAATCCATAGCAGAGTTAAATCATAAGGTGGTGTATACACAGGATGATTTGAAATACCTCTCCTGAAAAACTTAAAGAACAATGATCATTGAGTAATATAAACAATTGATAAGGTTGATTGATAAGGTTAATCTGAAGGTTGGAGTGCATGTGATATGCAATTCCTTTCCACTAGTAGACTTTACTCCTGGGAGAAGAGGAGAGTAGTGGTGGTTATCCTCTCATTCTCTGGCTTTAGGGCAACTGTGTAGGTGTCCTGTAAGGGTCTACAGATAGGCATAGTCTTGGGAGAAAGCAGGCCTTAGGCATACCTGGGATGGGTCAGATCCTCCCCGATAAGCTCCTAGGCTGGCACTTCTTAATCTCAATGACAATTTAGTACACTTGCCCTTTACTCTACTGAGATCATAAATTTACTCTGAGGCTCTACCCTTGTCCCTGAAGAGAATGGAGAATGTGGCTTAAGAATTAGTCCAACTACTGAAGGACTCAGACTTTCCCATTTGTATTATTTTGGGGCATCAAGAGATGTAAGGAATCAAAAGCATAATGACTCCTATAGACTTCTCATTATTAAGCTTTAGAAGTTGCCCCCAAATTAAAATGTATAACAAATACCTACTTATGATCACCTTGCAAGTTTTAGCAAACATAAAATTAATTTTATATAGCCTATCAAAACAGTTTGTCACTATGCCTAAAAATCTTATTAGAATTTTAAAAACTTAATCCTCAAATTTTAAGTCAATAATGGATACAGGCCAACATGACTTTGTCTCAGACCCTTACCTAATAGGTGCTCAGTATTTTATTGAATGAACATTTAGATGAATGCCTTCACTATCAGATCTCGACTGTTGCTTAGACACTTTAAGAAATCCAAGATAAGTGATTTAAAAAGTGATTTTTATTTGTTTTCGAACCATTATCCTCCTTAATATGTCTTTTCTATTTTGCTTCTGTGATTGCTGGTGCTTCATTTATTGCTTCTAAATATCCTTGTTTGGTGTTTGCAGATTCCTCTGACATTAGGCTCAGACGCTATTCTTCAGCCAGAAAAACCCATTATTCTGAAGGCTGTGACAAGGGATGAGACCATAAGAGGAGCCTGATTTTCCCTATGGACTTCTGCTATGTTTTTTAGGAAGACTTTAGCTTATTTTTGAATAAAACCCAGATGAAGATGGGCTTAAAATACTGTCCTTGAAAAGTTCTTAAGGATTCAGTACACTCTTTGAGCTTGCTCTGTATCTGTACAGCGTCTGTCTGTTGTGAGTAAATGAGTGTCAGCTCTGTAGATTCATATTTTCTGATTCTAGTAGGACTATCTCCATCCATCCCTAGGTGACACCATCAGTTCCATTTGAGCTCAGACCAGAGGACACATTTCTCAGTAATTTTATCCACAATTTTTAGTGAGAATGATAATTATAGCTCTGAGTGTAGCAATAAAATTTGTAATATTATATTATATTATTTGAAAATATAAATAAATATATCTATTGAAATGCGATTTTTTAAAAAAACGCACATTAAGAGGGAAGTTATTTTTGGTCATCAAAGTCACTGGTCCTGTGGGCCCTTTCTCTGATCCCATTTACATACTTTTATTTATTTTAAAAATAAAAGGAGAAAAACATTAACAGACAGACAACATTTTACAAAATAGCAAAAGAACAGTACAGACAATACAGAGTTACAAACAAAGTGCTAGGAAATTAACAGTGCTTGTTGTATTACATATTGATGTTTTCAAAGTGGTTTCTCATGAAAACGGATAGAGACACGCAATATTGATCAATCAAGGACTGATTGACAGTTTCTTTCAGCAAAGAAATAGAAGACAGTAGAACAACTATGTTAACTATCCTGTATATACATACATACAAAATTTGTCCTTCTTTCCCTTCTCTTTTCCCACATCCCAGTTGCCCTTTACCCTTGAGAGCTTTCCTATCATTTCACAATGTCTATCATACCTCCTAGTTTAAATTAACTTTCAGGTTTTACACTAGTGAAACAATGCGGTGCTTGCACATGCAGGTGTGATTTATTTCACTGGGATGAGTATGGTCTCTAGTTGTGACCATTTACCTATAAAGGCCTCGAGTTTATCTTTCTTTATAGCTGTGTAATATTCCATTCTATAAAAGTACCACAGTTTTCTTATCCAATCCTTGGTGGATGGACATTTGGGTTGCTTCCACCATTTAGGAATTACAAATTGTGCTGCTATGAACATAGGTGCACATATATCGCTGTGATATGATGTTTTCAGGTCTTCTGGGAAGGGGAATAGCTGGGTTGAATGGAACCTCTAGACCTAGTTTTCTGAGGAATCTCCAAACTGATTTCCACAGTGGTTTCACCAGTCTGCATTCCACCAGCAGTGGAGAAGGGTTCCTATTTCTCCACAGCCTTGCCAGCATTTGTTATTGGTTGATTTCTTAATGCTAGCCATTCTTACTGGGGTAAGGTGGAATCCTCTCACATATTCTCTCAGGGCTAAGACCAAGACCTTCTCTGGGTCACCCATGTTTATTTGATTATCAGAAGACTGTAGGGGAGTGCTCAAGAAAGACAGAACCACTCAAGGACTTCTCTAAGTAATGTATTAAGTAAATCCATTGAAGAAGGAGTTGCCTGAGGCTATAGTCTTTATCCAGTTGAGATCTGATCCAGGTGTCCTTGACTGTGATTTTGTCTTATCCTTTCAGACTTTCTGGCTTCATCCACCACTACAGGTTTTAGTAGGGATTCATGACTCACAGAGGTTCACTTAGTATGAGTCCACCATTTCCAGATAAGGAGCCTATGTCTTGGACAGATTCACAAGTGAACATGAAAAGTCAATTGATAAATTAATCAGGTCTGCTTCATAGTGGTCCACATAGTGGTCAGTCCTGCTCAGGTCTGCTTCATAGTGGTCTCCATCAATGATTCTCCTGCCTCAGCCTCCTGAGTGCTGGGATTACAAGCCTACACCACCACACCCAGCTCTAAATTGAACTTCAGTGGGTATGAACACAAAACATATGAGCACACAATAAATCCTGAATTACAAAGTGGAACAAATACTATGAAGGTGAAAATCTCTTTAATTAACAGAATTGTACAGACGACCCTTTTTCATTTAATACTCTCCACTTTTGAAAATATGAAAACAGTGATATCAACAGGATTTAAGGCATTAGAAATATGGGGCCTTGGGCATGACTGGGCCTGTTTTCTCATCTGCCCATGAAGAAAACTGAGCAGAACTGGCTGAAATAACCAAAATTCCCACTCTCCTAATCACCAGACCCCTTCAGAACTGCCTGATGCTCTGACCCTTTCACAACTCCACAGCACATCACACTTTATAAGGTTCTTTTCATTCTCTCAATGGATCCTCATATCAAGTGTGTGATACAATTGTTGAAATTATTTTAATTCAGCATTAATAGGGAAAATAGGGAAAAAGAGATGTGAAGAGATTTGTCCAAATGATTTATTTTGGAAGCACTCTCCTACAGATAGCTAGTGAACCCAAGCTGGGCTAGCTGGTGACATCCTTGGTTGGTTCTCAAGGAGCATCTGAGTAATCTGGATACTTGAGTCAGTATCACATTGATTAGATATTTCCTGGAAATGTCTTAAACACTTCCAATGTAGTTATGAATTACTAGAGAGGGAGATCTCAGCATAACAAACATGTATATCTCTCTAGCCATTACTGAGCTGTGTGTTCACTGGAACCATGGAATCATCAGAAATGTAGAAGATGCTCCAAATACCTCAGACATGTCAAAATAAAAAATAATTGAGTTTCCAGGAAAGCAGAAACTTAAAGATTATGAAATTAAGGAGTAAAAAGAATCAGAAATTTTGGCGACTTTCAGAAACCAGAGGCTGTGAGGAAGGTCCAAACTAATCATCATTATTGTCTTAGTTCATCAGATGCTGCTATCAAAGTTATTTGAGACTGGTATTGTCCTAGAGTCAAGGATTTCCAAGGTGTTGCTACAGCAAAAGAAACACAGAAATGACACCCATGATTTGAAGGAAGATTTATTTAATGTTGGATGAGCACTGACATAGAATCCATTGTCTCTCAAAATGTCAGGTCTTGAAGACCAAGGGAGGGAAGTTTTCATGGGGTTGCAAAAGCGAGGTTTGGAGGTATAGTACTTGGCTAGCTTCAATTGGTTCCTACAGTATACATCACAGTGACCAGCTATGCATCACAGTGACCAGCTGTTTCTAGGAGACAGTAGCAACAGGAACTGTAACAGGAACTATTACCTGAACATTACCTATTATCTGCCTTGGGGGCATTTTCTGCTACATTTTCCCCCTCTTTTAGCTTTCCTAGAACACCTTTGCTGGGCATGTTACATGTGATCTTTTGAGAAAAGGCCCAACTATAAGCAGTAACATTCAGCGGTCCTAGGATGAGCCCTAGCTAAGGTTCCCAAGACTGAAAGTTTTCCCAAGAGGAGTTTGTTTTTTGTCTCCCTTAGAATAAGGGGAAATGCCTTACTGGTTATTTTCTATTTTCTTGGAGACATAGAGCTAAATCAAAATACACTCTGAAATGGAAGCAAGGACTGGGGAAAGCAGCCAGAAAAAGCACAAAATCAAGGGGAGTAATGCATTGAAGTATGGAGCATACCTGTGAACAGTGACTTTAGGCTTCTGCCTTGCATGGACTGGTCAGCATCCAGAGTGACCAGAGAAGGGTTGTGAGCATGCTGTGTCTTTAGAGTGAGCTTCAGAGGAGCTATTTGGTCCAGGTAAACTCTCCAGATATTCAGCAGAACTCTGGAATGGTAGATCTAAAGCTGGATTTCTGAAA